CTTCCGGGCTTATCTATTCCAGTATTTTCCTTGTTTCTCATTACCGCCACCCATTCTGTTTCTTGGTGATTTTTAATGCCCACCCTTTCCTCTGGGGGGGGGGGGGCTTACTGTGATTCCCGGGGATTCATTAGAGGCTTTTTTTTTGCCACCCCCCCCCTCCCTGTTTTAAATACGGGACTCACACCCTTTTTTATCCTGGGCTCACCTCTTCCCTTTCATCGTCTCTCATCTGCCTTCCTCCACCGCATTTGACTTTACTTTGGGCTGTTCTCCCAACTTCATGACGTGTCATTTCCCAAACATTCTTATTCCCCCCTTTATATTCCCCCCTCTTCCCCCCACGCTGGAATTTGATCAGGCAAAAATTGGAACCTTTTTCTCTCCCCAACTGTTTTTAGAGAGGGGGCCTTCTTCGTCCTCCATCGATGAGCTTTTACACCTCTTCTCGTCCTCCGTTTTAACAGCTTCTCATTCTATACCCAAAACTTCGGGCAGGCATTCTCAGAAATGCATGCCTTGGTGGTCTCCTCTTGTGCTCGTACAGTACGTTTGAAACGCGCTGCAGGGGGCAGGTACCAGTAAAATAGAACCACAGAGGGGACTTCTTGATTTTAAGCAGAAGCGTGCGATCGCTCGCCGTGTCATCCATGACGCTAAACGCACTTGCTGGCGAAAATTTGTCTCCACCATCACCTCTACTTCCTCGATGAGTGCAGTCTGGAAAAAAGTATGAAAACTGAGTGGTAAATATTCTCATGACCCAGCTCCTGTTCTGCGGGTTGCCGGTGTTGAAATAGCAAACCCACTAGATGTTGCCAATGAAATTGGCAATCATCTGGTCCGTATTTCTCAGGGACTCCATCTATGCCCCTCATTTCTTTCCTCAAAGTCTGCCAGAGAGTTAGCACCCTTGGACTTTTCTTCTCTCAGAGAAGAACAGTATAATGTGCCTTTTACACTTCAAGAACTGGAGGCAACACTCTCAGCTTGCCGATCATCGGCAGCTGGGCCCGACGACATTCATATTCGTATGCTACAACATTTACATCAGTCAGCCCTTGCAGTCCTATTACGCCTTTACAATCTTATTTGGTCACAAGGAGTTCTTCCACAGCTGTGGAAATCCGCCATTGTTCTCCCTTTCCGCAAACCAGGCACTACGGGACATGAAACCTCCCACTATCATCCCATTGCTCTTATCAGTGCAGTTTGCAAAGTAATGGAACGCCTAGTAAATAGACATTTAGTGTGGTATTTAGAGACACACAACAGTCTCTCCACTCGTCAATATGGCTTTCGTAAGGGACGTTCTACCATAGACCCCTTACTACTCTTGGATACATATGTTCGTAATACCTTTGCGAATAACCACTCAGTTATTGCCATATTTTTTGACCTTGAGAAGGCATATGACACATCTTGGAGGTATAATATTTTAGCCCAAGCCCACTCCTTAGGCCTTCGAGGCAATCTACCATCCTTCCTTAAGAACTTTTTAACTGACAGGCATTTCCGTGTTCAGGTTAATAATGTGCTCTTCCCGGACTTTATCCAAGCTGAAGGTGTCCCCCCAGGGATGTGTTCTGAGCACAACACTTTTTCTCATTGCTATTAATGATTTGACCTCTAGTCTTCCATCAAATATTTGGTCATCACTCTATGTTGATGACTTCACTATTGCCTGTGCAGGCGCTGACTGTCACCTCATTACAGTTTCTCTCCAGCATGCAGTCGACCGTGTTTCCAATTGGGCCACCACACGTGGGTTTAAATTTTCCAGCACTAAAACCCACCAAATTACTTTCACTAGACGCTCTGTCATCTCCGATCATCCTTTGTACCTCTATGGCTCCCGTATCCCTGAACGTGATACAGTCAAGTTTCTGGGCCTCCTCTTTGATCGTAGGTTATCCTGGAAACCTCACATTACCTCTCTGAAGGCAACTTGTCACATCCGGCTGAACCTTCTTAAAACCCTCATCTTTCAGGGGGAGCTGATCGTCGAACCCTCCTTCACCTACATTCCACCCTTATTTTATCGAAACTTGATTATGGTGACCAGATCTATTCAGCGGCATCTCCTGCTACTCTCTCTAGCCTTAACCCTATTCATCACCAAGGATTACGTTTATGCCTTGGTGCTTTTCGCTCTTCCCCTGTCGAAAGCCTCTATGCAGAAGCGAACGTTCCATCCTTATCCGATCGCCGTGATTCCCATTGCCTGCGCTACTATGTACGCTCTCATGATCTCCGCAATCCTTCCATTTATAGAATGGTCACTGATATTAGTAGACATTCTTTATTTGTTCGCCGCCCCTGCTTACTCCGTCCCTTCTCTCTTCGCCTTCATTCGCTCTTGTCTTCTCTTCAACTACCACCTTTCTATGTACATGTAGCATCTCACTTTTCCCTACCCTCCTGGGAAGTTCCAGCTGTTCGAGTCTGTTCTTTCTCCCTCCCTTGCTCGAAAGCCCAACTGTCTACGGTCGCTTCCCGCTCTCTTTTTCTTGACCACTTTCACTCTCATTCTCATGCCATTGCTGTGTACACAGATGGCTCTAAGTCTTCTGACGGCGTAGGATTCGCAGCAGTGTTTCCGGACAGCGTCGTACAAGGGCATTTACTATCTTCGGCTAGTATTTTTACTGCTGAATTATATGCCATCCTTACAGCACTTATCCGTATTGCATCTATGCCTGTGTCATCATTTGTGGTTGTCTCAGACTCCCTTAGTGCTTTACAGGCTATACAAAAATTTGATACACCTCACCCCTTAGTCCTCCGTATCCAACTTTGGCTACGCCGCATCTTTACCAAGCATAAAGATATTGTTTTTTGTTGGGTCCCTGGTCATGTTGACGTACAGGGCAATGAACAGGCAGACACTGCTGTGCGGTCAGCAGTACATGACCTACCAGTTTCTTATAGAGGTATTCCATGTACGGACTATTTTGCTGTAATATCTTCCCACCTTCACACCCGTTGGCAACAACGTTGGTCTACTATGCTCGGCAACAAACTTCAGTCTATTAAACCGAGTATAGGTTACTGGCCGTCTTCTTATCACCAGTGTCGAGGTTGGGAGACTACTCTCTCCCGTCTTCGCATTGGCCATACTCGTCTTACTCATGGATATCTCATGGAGAGGCGTCTTGCTCCTCTCTGTGAGAATTGCCAAGCTCCATTATCAGTCAGCCACATTCTGTTGGACTGCCCACTTTATCAACGAGCACGCAGAATTTACCTCTGTCGTCGTCTTCGCCCCACTGCTCTCTCTTTACCTTCCCTTCTCGCTGATGGACCCACCTTTCATCCGGACTCTCTCATTGACTTTTTGACAACGACTGACTTACTACACAAATTCTGATACTTTCAGCCCTTTCTACTTGAATCTCTTGCTACCCTCTACCCCCGTACTATCCCCTGCCCCGCTGTTTTCTGTAACCTGCTGATCATCCCCCTCCCTTCTGCCATCCAATTCCCTTGCTTCCTTCCCTACCCTGCAGCACTGTATAGCCCTTGTGGCTTAGCGCTTCTTTTTGATTATAATAATAATAATAACAAACTTCAATCTATTAAACCAAGTATAGGTTACTGGCCGTCTTCTTATCACCAGTGTCGAGGTTGGGAGACTACTCTCTCCCATCTTCGCATCGGCCATAATCGTCTTACTCATGGATATCTCATGGAGAGGCGCCCTGCTCCTCTCTGTGAGAATTGCCAAGCTCCATTATCAGTCAGTCACATTCTGTTGGACTGCCCACTTTACCAACGAGCACGCAGAATTTACCTCCGTCGTCGTCTTCGCTCCGCTGCTCTCTCTTTACCTTCCCTTCTCGCTGATGGACCCACCTTTCATCCGGACTCTCTCATTGACTTTTTGACAACAACTGACTTCACAAATTCTGATACCTTCAGCCCTTTCTACTTCAATCTCTTGCTACCCTCTACCCCCGTACTATCCCCTGCCCCGCTATTTTCTGTAACCTACTGATCATCCCTCCTCCCTTCTGCCATCCAATACCCTCGCTTCCTTCACTACCCTGCAGCGCTGTATAGCCCTTGTGGCTTAGCGCTTCTTTTTTATTATAATAATAATAATAATATCCATACCTCACCTATGCTATTTGTGCTCAGGGATCAACTACAGCAACACACCTAAAGCCAATAATAACCCAACAAAAAGCCGCAGTAAGAATAATCACACAATCCCATCCCAGGCAACACCCCCCCCCCCTCTTCATAGATCTAAACTTACTCACTGTTCAGAACATCCACACTTACTACTGTGCAATCTACATTTACAGAACCTTAAATTCCAATATTAACTCTAACCTTAAATGCTTTTTTGGTAGTTGCGATAGGACCCACAGGCATAACACCAGACACAAACATCTCTATGACATTCCCCGTGTCCGACTAAGCCTTTACAAAAATTCAATATACGTCAAAGGACCTAAAATCTGGAACACCCTACTTGAAAACTCTAGAACTGCAGACACATTCATCACTTTCAAAACTACTGTTAGAAAACATCTCCCTAATACACTCCATCAGCGAACTACATGAAAACCACCTGGTGATTCACACTTAGACTCACACATCACCAAATTGACTATAGGCACAGAAATACGAATCTTAAAATAATGAATCTTAACTAGTCATAAGTTTGCCTGTGATACTCCAATATAGAAACTATATATTGTACCAAAATAAAAGCATTCACATTGCTAAATTTACAAACTGTAATGTAGTTACTTAGCCTTAATACCAACTTGTTCCATAATCTGTAATAATTAAGAGTTATGAATTAATCTTAGCCCGAAATGCCTAGCCATGCTAGGTGTGAGAGTGGCCCCCTCTGTAATTAGTATTTTATAACATATAAACCACACAATATCCTAAAATATGTAAAGCCCTCATTGTAATTTTTATAGAGAATAAACTTGATTTGATTTGATTTGAACTAAAATTTTGGATTAAAAAACCTTTAACAGATGCAAGCATGTCCAAACTGTAGGAAGCCACTCCCTCGTTGTTCTCTTTGTCTGGTACACATGGGAACACCTTCGGGGTGGGGAAGCTCAATACCTAAAAGTTCTGGTGGTGAAGATAATGCAGAAGGTGACTCCAGTACTCCCACCTCAGACACTGCTGTGAGGAGGAGAAAGCTCAGTAACTTCACATCATGGTTTACCTGGTGCCAGACATGCAGGCATGGTGGACATGCACATCATTTGATGGAATGGTTCAAGTAAGTGGGTTTTTAAACACCTTTTTTTCTTGAGATAGGATGACCTAAAGAAAGAAAACACATCATTACTCTTTATCTAGCTATTATAATGGAATTAATCCAGTAGTCATTCTAAATTAAACTAAAACCAGCAGAAAACATACTTAGAAAACCCTCTCTCATTCTAAGGGAAAAAAAGAAAAACATAGATGATTCAGATACTTTCTCAGCCTGTGATCTATTTCTTTCAGTAAACTGGCTGTATCCCACTGAAGCAGGGTGGCCTAAAAAGAAAAACAAAAGTTTCTCTTTTTAACTTTAGTAATGCATACAGGAGAAGGGATTACTAGCCCCTCGCTCCTGGCATTTCAGTTGCCTCTTACGACATGCATGACTTATGGAGGAAGAATTCTGTTCCACTTCCCCACAGAGATAAGAGGAAATAAACCAGAGTAAGGACTAGTAAGAAAATAGAAGAAAACACAGAGGTGTGTAATTTTTTTTTTTTTTTAACAAACCGGCCGTATCCCACCAAGGCAGGTTGGCCCAAAAAGAAAAACGAAAGTTTCTCTTTTTAAATTTAGTAATTTATATAGGAGAAGGGGTTACTAGCCCCTTGCTCCCAGCATTTTAGTCACCTCTTACAACATGCATGGCTTATGGAGGAAGAATTCTGTTCCACTTTCCCATGGGGATAGGAGGAAATAAACAAGAACAAGAACTAGAAAGAAAATAGAAGATAACCAAGAGGGGTGTGTATATATATGCTTGTACATGTATGTGTAGTGTGACCTAAGTGTAAGTAGAAGTAGCAAGACGTACCTGTAATCTTGCATATTTATGAGACAGACAAAAGACACCAGCAATCCTACCATCATGTAAAACAATTACAGGCTTCCATTTTACACTCACTTGGCAGGACAGTAGTACCTCCCTGGGTGGTTGCTGTCTACCAAACTACTACCTACCTCAGCCTGTGATAGCTTTTATTAATTGGAATCAGCTAGCAAGTGACAGCCCTCAAACCCAGTCCAATATTAATAATTCTCTTACAGGTCAATCCCCTAATTTCGTGTCGTTACTGCCATTCACTGCCTCAGAAGAAGACTCCATAACAAAATCACTCACTTGAAGCAATCAACCTCATTTTTTCCTTTCAGGTACAGCTATTCTGTGTAGTACTGTAATTTATTATAATGTAATATTGTACTCTAGTTTATTCTTGGTAGGGTGCGTAACAATACAGCAGACTAAGTCTGCATCATTGGGCGTTTGTTAGTGTCTGGTAGTCGAATGTCTACTTCATTAAAACTTTCAACATGACAGATTTTTGCTAAAGTGGACACCCCCCACCCTCCATCTTACATAACACACACACACAGGCCTTCATATTAAACTCGTGTAGTGCACAGTGGCTTTTCAGACCTGTTAATGGAAGTGACTGTAACCACCACTTTCTGAACTCCTCAGGTTCATCAAATATTTATAACTGATCTTTTTATACTTATTGTTGCATTATGTCTAGGGCAATTATTGTTTCATAGAAATGAAGTCCTGTTAAATAATAAGTGGATAACAAACTTAGGAAATGAAAGATTGGATATCAGATTAGAGGGAGAGTGTGTGGCAGAAGTGAGAATATTCTAATATCTGTGAGTAAACTTGTTAGCAGATGGGTTTATGAAAGACTAGGTGAACCATAGAACTGGCAGGTGAGTGGTGCACTGAAGAGTCTGTGGAGACAAAGAACATTATCCATGGAAACAGAGGGGAATGTATGAGAGTATAGTGGTACCAACCAACACTCTTATATGGATGTTAAGCATGGGTGGTGAAGATTGTAACAAAGAAAAGGCTGGAGTCAGTGAAGATGTCATGTTTGACACCAATGTGTGGTGTGAATATTATGCAGAGAATCCATAGCTTGAAGATTAGAAGGAAGTGCAGGCTTACTAAAAGTATTATCCAGAAGACAAAAGGGTTTTTATGAGGATAGTGAGGCTCAAGTTAGAGTATGTAGGAAAAAGGGAAATTATTTCCCAGTAAAAGTAGGCCTTAGACAAGGATGTGTGATGTCACTGTGGTTGTTTAATATATTTATAGATGGGGTTGTAAGAGAAGTAAATGCGAGGGTCTTGGCAAGAGGTGTGGAGTTAAAAGATAAAGAATCACACATAAAGTGGGAGTTGTCACAGTTACTCTTTGCTGATGACACTGTGCTCTTGGGAGATTCTGAAGAGAAGTTGCAGAGATTGGTGGATGAATTTGGTAGGGTGTGCAAAAGAAGAAAATTAAAAGTGAATACAGGAAAGAGTAAGGTTATGAGGATAACAAAAAGATTAGGTGATGAAAGATTGGATATCAGATTGGAGGGAGAGAGTATGGAGGAGGTGAATGTATTCAGATATTTGGGAGTGGACGTGTCAGCAGATGGGTCTATGAAAGATGAGGTGAATCATAGAATTGATGAGGGAAAAAGGGTGAGCAGTGCACTTAGGAGTCTGTGGAGACAAAGAACTTTGTCCTTAGAGGCAAAGAGGGGAATGTATGAGAGTATAGTTTTACCAATGCTCTTATATGGGTGTGAAGCATGGGTGATGAATGTTGCAGCGAGGAGAAGGCTGGAGGCAGTGGAGATGTCATGTCTGAGGGCAATGTGTGGTGTGAATATAATGCAGAGAATTCGTAGTTTGGAAGTTAGGAGGAGGTGCGGGATTACCAAATCTGTTGTCCAGAGGGCTGAAGAAGGGTTGTTGAGGTGGTTCGGACATGTAGAGAGAATGGAGTGAAACAGAGCGACTTCAAGAGTGTATCAGTCTGTAGTGGAAGGAAGGCGGGGTAGGGGTCGGCCTAGGAAAGGTTGGAGGGAGGGGGTAAAGGAGGTTTTTGTGTGCGAGGGGCTTCGACTTCCAGCAGGCATGCGTGAGCGTGTTTGATAGGAGTGAATGGAGACAAATGGTTTTTAATACTTGACGTGCTGTTGGAGTGTGAGCAAAGTAACATTTATGAAGGGGTTCAGGGAAACCGCCAGGCCGGGCTTGAGTCCTGGAGATGGGAAGTACAGTGCCTGCACTTTGAAGGAGGGGTGTTAATGTTGCAGTTTAAAAACTGTAGTGTAAAGCACCCTTCTGGCAAGACAGTGATGGAGTGAATGATGGTGAAAGTTTTTCTTTTTCGGGCCACCCTGCCTTGGTGGGAATTGGCCAGTGTGATAAAAAAAAAAAAAAGGGTTGTTAACCCTTTCAGGGTCCAGAGGCCAAATTTCTAAGTGCACACCAGGGTCCAAGAATTTAAAAAAAAAAAATATTATTTTTTCTTATGAAATGGTAGAGAATCTTTTTCTGAAGGTAAAACAAAAAGTACGAAATTTGATGGGAAATTGGCGAAATTATGCACTTGCGAATTTTAATGTCAGCGATATTTACAAATCGGTGATTTTGCCGACTTTGACTCCCATTTTAGGCCAATTACATTATTCCAGTCGACCAAATTCTTAGCTATTTCACTAGTATTACTTCTATTCTATCAATTGAGCACAAGAAATCACCAAGTCAACTGTTTCAACTACAAAATAAAGTGATCAGAAATTGGTAATTTGGCCAATTTAATTCAAAGTTCAAAATATTCAAATTTCAAAAGTAGGGTCCAGAATAAACAATGTAGGTATTCCTGGCACTAAACTAACATTTCCTCTGTTCGTTAGTTACGTTTTGAGGCTTTACAAATGAATTCCATTTTTATTTTTTATTCACATAATGAATTTTTATTCAAACCAAGAAATAGAAGATTTACTGTTATACAATATTGTAATAAATGTATAAATATTATCACCACATTTGTGAATGTATATTAGACCCACCAGCTGGCATGTATTAGACGTGTGAGGTCGTTTGTTTACTCTTGAACATTAGCAAAAATTTAACATTTCCGTTACTTTGAGCTCAGTTTCAAGCTATTTCCAGTGCTAAAACCAATCAAAATCATCTCTATTTCTGCAATATGTCTCCCATTCTATCAAATGAGACCAAGAAATTGCAAATACAACTATAAAAAACATATGAAAAAGTACTGCAAAGTCGCTGTTTTAATAAAAAATCACTGTCTCAGTTTTTTTCTCTCATTATACATGTGCTGCAGGATTTGTTTTATGTGGTGCACACATACCACATAGATGTATTCTCTCATATCTAGGCCCAAATGTACCACTCACAGCTTATCAGAGTGAGCTGAGCTCATGGCGTAGATCTACGGTTTGGACCCTGAACGTAAAGCCGTAGATCTATGACACGAACCCTGAAAGGGTTCATATTGGAGAAGAGAGTTATTAACCCTTTCAGGGTTGGTGCCGTACTAGTACGGCTTGCACGCCAGGGTTGGTGCCGTACTAGTATGCATAAATTCTAGCGCCTTCAAATCTAGTGAGAGAAAGCTGGTAGGCCTACATATGAAAGAATGGGTCTATGTGGTCAGTGTGCGCAGTATAAAAAAATAATGAGAAAAAAAGAACTCCGACTGTGTTTTTGGTTTAAAACAGCGACTTTGCAGTGTATTTTCGTATGCTATTTATGGTTGTTTTTTGGTCTCATTTTATAGAATGGGAGACATATTATGGAACTTTAGATGATTTTGTTTGGTTTCACAATGAAAAGTACGTACCTTGAAATTGAGCTCAAAGTAGCAGAAATGTTCGATTTTTGCCAAAGTTCAAAAGTAAACAAAACATGCCATGCATCCAATACATGTCAACTGGTGAGACTAATATTCTTTCACAAGTGTTTACCTGGAGAGAGTTCCGGGGGTCAACGCCCCCGCGGCCCGGTCTGTGACCAGGCCTCCTCCTATGATACTATTTATACTGATACTATTTATACCATTTCTACAGTAATGCAGTAGCCTGCATAACAGTAAATCATCTATTTTTTGTGAGAATAAAAATTCAAAGTGGAAAGCAAAAGAAATGTAACAGAGGCCTGGGGACATGACTAATGAACAGAGAAAATGTTATTTTAGTGCCAGGAATGTCTGTCTTGTTTATTCTGGACCCTATTTGGAAATTGGCATCTTTTGAAATTTGTGTGAAATTAGCAAAATTGCCAATTTCTGACCACTTTATTGGATAGTTGAAATTGGTAAATGGGTGGTTTCTTGTACTAATTTGATAGAAAAAATAGAGTTCTAGCAAAATAGTAATGATTTTTGTCAATTGGTACATTGGAATTGGCCAAAAATAGGGCTCAAAGTGGGCAAAATCGCCGATGCGTAAACATCATCGAGACCCTAACTTCGCGAGAGCATAATTCCATAAGTTTTCCATCAAATTTCATACTTTTGGTGTCATTATGATCGGGAAAAGATTCTCTATCATTACTTTTTTTTTTTTTTTTTTTCAACCTTGAGAACAAGTTTAGGGGAGGGTCTGCCAACCCTGAAAGGGTTAAATGGAGAGTTAGAGGTATCGGGAAGATGGAGGGAATATTTTGAGGAATTGTTAAATGTTGATGAAGATAGGGAAACTGTGATTTCGTGTATAGGGCAAGGAGGAATAACATCTTATAGGAGTGAGGAAGAACCGGTTGTGAGTGTGGGGGAAGTGCGTGGGGCAGTGAGTAGAATGAAACAGGGTAAAGCAGCTGGGATTGATGGGATAAAGATAGAAATGCTAAAAGCAGGTGGGAATATAGTTTTGGATTGTTAAGTGTTTTTATTTAATACATGTATGGAAGAGGGTAAGGTACCTAGGGATTGGCAGAGAACATGCATAGTTCCTTTGTGTAAAGGCAAAGGGGACTTAAGAGAGTGGAAAAGTTATAGGGGAATAAATCTGTTGAGTATACCTGGTAATATGTATGGTAGAGTTATTATTGAAAGAATTAAGAGTAAAATGTTGAGCAGGATAGCAGATGAACAAGGAGGCTTTAAGAAGGGTAGGGGGTGTGTAGACCAAGTGTTTGTAGTAAAACTTAAAGGCAAACAGTATTCAGATAAGGGTAAAGGGGTAAAGAGGTATTTGTGGAAAAAGCATATGATAGGATGGATAGGGGGCAATGTGGCAGATTTTACAAATGTATGGAATAAGAGGTAGGTTATTGAAAGCAGTGAAAAGTTTTTACGAGGATAGTGAGGCTCAGGTTAGAGTATGTAGGCGAGAGGGAGATTATTCCTCAGTAAAAATAGGCCTTAGACAGGGATGTGTGATGTCACCATGGTTGTTCAATATATTTATAGATAGAGTTGTTAGAGAAGTGAATGCTCGGGTGTTGGCAAGAGGTATGGGGTTAAAAGATCAAGAATCTAACATAGAGTGGGAGTTATCACAGTTGCTCTCTGCTGATGACACTGCTTTTGGGAGATTCTGAAAAGAAGTTGCAGAGGTTGGTTGATGAGTTTGGTAGAGTATGTAAAAGAAGGAAATTAAACGTGAATATAGGAAAGAGTAAGGTGATGAGGATAAAAAAATTAGGTAATGGAAGATTGGATATCAGATTGGAGGGAGAGAGTGTGGAGGAGGTGAATATTTTCAGATATTTGGGAATGGACATGTCAGCAGATGAGTCTACAAAGGATGAGGTGAATCATAGAATTGACAAGGGGGGGGGAAAGGTGAGTGGTGCACTGTGGAGTCTGTGGAGAAAAAGAACTTTATCCATGAAAGCAAAGAGGGAAATGTATGAGAGTATAGTTATACCAATGCTCTTGTATTGGTATGAGGCATGGGTTGTGAATGTTGCAACAAGGAGAAGGCTGAAGGCAGTGGAGATGCCATGTCTGAGAGCAATGTGTGGTGTGAATATAATGCAAAGAATCCATAGTTTGGAGATTAGGAGGGGGTGTGGGATTACCAAAACTATTATCCAGAGGGCTGAGGAGGGGTTATTGAGATGGTTTGGACATGTAGAGAGGATGCAACAAAATAGAATGACTTTGAGAGTGTATAAATCTGCAGTGGAAGGAAGGCAGGGTAGGGGTCGGCCTAGGAAAGGTTGGAGGAAAGGGGTAAAGGAGGTTTTGTGTGCGAAGGGCTTGGACTTTCATCAAGCGTGTGTGAGGATGTTAGATAGGAGCGAATGGAGACAAATGGTTTATAGGACTTGATGTGCTGTTAGAGTGTAAGCAAGGTAATATTTACGAAGGGATTCAGGGAGTCCGGCACGCCGGACTTGATTCCTGGAGATGGGAAATACAGTGCCGGCACTCTGAAGGAGGGGTGTTAATGTTGCAGTTTTATAACTGTCATGTAAGCATGCCTCTGGCAAAACAGTGATGAAGTGAATGATGAAAGTTTTTCTTTTTCTGCCTTGGTGGAAAACGGCTGATGTGTTAATAAAAAAAAATACATGATTTTTGTAACTATCCAAGTAATCCTCTTGTTTATTTTATTTTCAGGGAGCATACAGAATGTCCTGTCACCTCTTGCAACTGCAAGTGTATGTCATTAGATACGGTAAATAAAGTAGCATCCTCCTCGGTGTCTGTCATGGCCAAATAGTCATACCATTCTCATATTGGTCATGTATGTTTTGGTGCTAAATTTAATTTATGAAATATGTTGATTTATGATTATGACAAACTTATTGGAATATTGTCTTTCAACAGCACATAAAAATAAAAATAGTTGTGGTGCATGGGAAGTGAGAGATTTTAAATTAATGTAAAGAGTTAGGAGTAATCATTTTGTTTACCTTACCCAAGACATGTTAAACATTGCAGTAGACACCAGTTAATTCACAGTTTTAAACTCCTGAACTCACCATGTTTTAGACAATCATTAATTATACAGGTACTGTACTTAGACATATATAATGGAAAAGGGATTAAGGTCCTGAAACAACCTTCAACTCTCTCTCCACACTAAAGAGATCACTGTTGGGCCTAAGAAAACCTAGTGATTTTATATTACTTGAATCTGTCTAGGAAACCTTTAAAAGAGGCAGTAATTATTCTGTGGCACAGAGGCCTGGTAGATTTCATTGTATTTATTCTACCTTTTAAATGTTAATCCACTGTAGAAAGGAATTCTCATAGCTTGTGTTTGTCCTCAAAGTAATCAAAACCCTTTAATTTTCTAAATAACTGGGCTTCCTCACCTCTTTACTCTGTGTTATTCCTCTTTGTTTGTTTTTTTCAAATCTGTATAGGTTTCCTTCTCTTTATGTGGTTTTGTATTGTGTGAATTCACTTAGGTTCTGATCCTATTTCCACCAGGAATTTTCTATGTGTGATATAGATCTTATGCAGTCACCAAAGCCCATCATCACTTGATTTTTTTTACACTGTAACTCCTGCCTTGGCGGGAGACAGTCGTTGAGTTGAAAAAAACTCTAAATTTCTCAAAACTGGTTTATAATGATATGAGAGGGAATGATTAGAAAGAAAGAAAGAAATCAGATTTCTAAACAAGTCAGATTAGGAAATGGAAATATCCATTGAACATCTTTTGAATGAAATACAGTATGTAGTACCTTGACTTACGAGTTTAATTCGTTCTTTGACCGAGCTTGTAACTCAGTTTGCTCATATATCAAATCAGTTTTCCTCACTGAAATTAATCAAAATGCTATTAATCCATTCCAGCCCCCCCACTCCACCAAAAAAAAAAAAAAAATTTTTATGGGTTTTTAAATAAGAAAATGTATTTATAAATAAAAAATGATTTTTGCCTTTTTCTTCATGTCCCAGCAATGTTTTAGAAATGCTGGATTATATATGAAACTCCTTGAAGATGAGTGTCACTCCACTGCTGACAGTGCAGCGGTGGAGTGACATTTGATGATCGTGCACTGCCTTGGCTTTATTTTTCACTGTTACACATAAACATGTCTCTGTTTCTTTCTGTCTATCTGTCTGTTTCTGTCTGTCTAGCTCTATGTTTATCTCTGTCTCTGCTTATCTGTCTTTGTCTTCCTGTCTCTCTACTTGTCTCTCTGTCTCAGAGAGAGAGCCGCTCATGAACCAACGGGTATTACGCACAATGCAGTTGGTCATGTCTGATTCCTGAACAAGTGAAAATGTGTATTACTTGCCAGTCATGCTTATTATGCCTTATATCTACAAGCACAGTATAGCACTTCGTCTGGATTTTTTGGGTTATCCTAGGTAATTTACACTATGTATAACTGTATTTATGTGTACTTATGGGTCTGGACTAAATTGCTTCACTAAACAGGAAGTTCAAACCTAATTCGTCGGATATTTCTAATGGCTGTTGAATATCCACATTTTTAGAGATTTTAGCCATGGCTCTGGTGATCACATTAAGGGGGAATAAATCTAGCCCTGCCTCAGAAGCTTCTAATGCATAATTTATATCGCAGGGATTATCTAAAACCAGAGGCTCTTTGGGTATCTCCAATTGAACAATTTCATTCCCGATTAATAGATCTCTGCCAGCAATTGGGAAAGGTTTATCTGAAAGTCCCACATTGATCCAGCCTACATATCCAGGCAGTTCTACATAAATCCTTACAATGGGGACCTTTATTATTGTGCCTCCGTATGCCTCTAATAATACGTCCAGCCGGGGTTCGTTACTACTAGGTAACTTTACAAGGTTTGATCTTAACAAAGAGAGATAGCTGCCAGTATCTCGAAAGGTCGTGATGTTTACTAACCTCTCTTTACAGAGTCCGAACTTCCCTTTGGAAAAGTAGGGTTCCATAGCTGCTCGGACCTTTTCTTCTGAAGTACTATCGTGGTAAAGTCATCTATTAGACGGTCTGCTAGACGAGGCCTGTAAACGTAAAGATTCATCATCCAGGGTTTTATACTTCTGAGAGGAATTTATTACCTGAGTAGGATATCTCCCTCTTGGTTGGGTTTTATCTTCCCGCTGTTTATGTCAACACTGGAACTGCCTATGCCCCCAACTTATTACAAAAAAGGCACAGTGGTAATTGATCTTTAGGGTAATGCCTGGAAAAAGAGCCATTTGTCACCTGTTTTTTTTCTGAAAACACCTTCAAAGGTTTGACAGCTGGAGCTTTCCTAGTAGTCAATCTTGAACTAAAACCTTGGGAGGCAAATTTCTTTTCCAGGGCCTTAGCCATTTCTACGGTTATAGCATGTGAAATTTCAAAATGATCTGCGTGGGCAGCAGTATCTAACAAGTTAGTAGTAGGAAATGTCAAAAGATATGTATGAATCCTCTCCGGGAAATATTTAAAAAGGTCTTCATGTAATATCAGCTGGGAAAGTGACTCTACTGAGGAGGCTCCTGTGGCCCTACGCCAACGCTCAAAAGCCAAGAGCTTTTCTCTAGCAAAGTCCACCCAAGATTGCTGAGGATATTTCCTCAGAGTTCTAAACATCTTTAAGTAACTAACAGGTAACAGGTCATAGGCTTTCAAAGACAATCTTTTACCTGAGTATAATCAGAATATTGTTCAAAAGGTAAGTCTGCAGTTATGGTTTGGGCTTTTCCTATTAACGATGAATGTATTAAAGCAGCCCAATATTTAGGAGGCCATTGCATCACTTTCGCCTGATTTTCGAATGCCTCAAAAAATGAATCTACATTATCTTCAGTAAATTTAGGCATTAAAGAGGCTGCTTTACTAAGGTTGAAAGAAGGGATTGTATGCTTATTACTCGATTCTCTTTTCTTTCTCAGTACTTCCCGTTCATAAAGCAAAGATTCGCGTTCAAAATTCTCCCTTTTTAGTTTTATCTGGGCTTCTACAAAGGAGGTTTGAGGCGATAAAATACGTTCCAGACGTTCGAAATTCTCCTTTGATCGAGTAGTAGTCAGAAGAGCTAAAGAGATTTGAAGTGCAACCTGTTCATCATCCAATAGGACTTTCTCTTGTTCCATTTCTAAAACATCTGTAAAGGGTTTACCTGGAACTGTTTCCTTAGCCTGATGGACTTCTGTTCCCCATTTAGTCCTTGGAGAGGGAATTGGTGTTGTTGTAGCAGCGTCATCTTTCCGAGTATCGGGAAGTTGATGTCCATCATCTCCATAGGGGCTGTTAGCGTCATAGTTCCGGCCTCGGGTGTCTGTAGTAAAGAATTCAAAAGAGGAATATCTACTTCTCCGTTCTCAGTCTCTGGATCCTGCTCATCTAGAAAAAGGACATTCTGTATCATACATCTGACTGTCTGGGCAGTAAAATGCCTGTCATATTTTATGCCCAAGCTTCGTGCTAATTGCCAACAAGACTGAAGCTTCAATTTCTGTAATCTCTCCCTTGTTATTTCTTCAAACCTCTCTGCCATTTCTGCATTCATTTCAAATAACTTTCAATGGTATGCTCCTGGACACAGGCCCCCACTTGTTACACTCCATGGGTTGTAACCACTCAGTTTCCTTCTGGTTAGAGCATAACAACATTGGTCAGAGAGGTTGGGGTAATAATAGTAATCCTCCGGAAATCTTATTTTAATGAAGTATATTTATAGTGCAACATAAAGCCAATAATAATAATATACGAATTATCGTATATAAGTTAAGAATGCTTGTTTGTTATATATTGTCCGAAATATATATATACATATGTATAAGACTTTCATAACACATGATTAGGATGAGATCCTAGACATAACATATATATACAGAGATTACTTTAGTGAATAGGGTTTTATTTCCCAATGGGAAGCAGTCAGAATACAACAGAATAAGTCCAGGCCGGATAATCAACCTTAGCCAGTTACCAGAGACGAGCAGGAGTATTCTCGTTGGCTGCTACTTCTTCATTGCTCGTCCCTCAACCTTGAGCATACAGGTCAGGTGGGTCACGTGATGTGACTCACCCACACTCGGTAGAGTAGTTGACCAAAAGGGGGGGAGAAGGGGGGGTATGACCATTGAACACCACAGCTTAGCCATACACTAGTACACAGAGTGGCAGGCATGTTGCTATACCTTCAATTTAACTAATCATGGCCATGTACATAAATAATAATAATAAGAATAAGCCTTAATAATACAAGGACGTTCATTTCCAATTTAGCTATTAAAGGAAATGACTGCAATGTAATATTAAAGAAAGGTTAAGAATAGGGGCATGACACACACAAACATGTCTCTCTTTCTGTCTATCTGTCTGTCTGTTTCTGTCTGTCTATTTGTCTGTTTAGCTCTATGTTTATCTTTGTCTCTGCTTATCTGTCTTTGTCTTCCTGTCTCTCTGTCTCAGAGAGAGAGCCGCTCATGAACCAACGGGTATTACGCACAATGCAGTCGGTTATGTCTGATTCCTGAACAAGTGAAAATGTGTATTACTTGCCAGTCATGCTTATTATGCCTTATATCTACAAGCACAGTATAGCACTTTGTCTGGATTTTTTGGGTTATCCTAGGTAATTTACACTATGTTTAACTGTATTTATGTGTACCTGTGAGATAGAGATAGACAGAGACAGAGATAGAGGCACAGAGACATAGAGGCAGAGATAGATACAGACAGACTGAAGGAGATACAGACAGCCAAAGCAAATCAGCCAGCCAATCAGCCACTGGCCAACCACCTGGCCACCCATCCAGCCGGCCTGCCGAACATGTATTACACGTTCCAGAATTGTTTCTCTTTACTTAGGGCATACATTATATAACATTCTAGCAAGATGACACTACCAGTGGTATCAAAATTGAAAGGATGTTACACATTGGTTATTATCGAGGTTTTTGATATTTCCTCTCTCCTGTGAGTGGCAGCATATCTGAAGCTTGCTCATAACTCGGATTTTGGCTCACAGCTCAAAGTAAAAAATCGACCGAGCAGTGGCTCGTAACTCGGAAAACTCGTAAGTTGGGGCACTCATAAGTCAAGGTACCACTGTACTATGGTTGATTTTTCAACCTGAGTGTCTTGCACCTAGTCCAAAGAATATGGACACCGACCATACTAAGCTGGGTTGTGCAGGCACAAAGTCAGGACTAGGAGTGGAGAAGGGTAGGAAAGAGTAGTAGCGATTTTTGTATGTACACGTTCATAATGTGTACACTTCAGACCAGATGAAGACAGGCTAGTTAGTTGGTGGTGGAGGGAGGGTAAAAAGGAGGATTAAAAATAAATTTAGGATTTAATTTTTCTCAGTTATTTCATGACCAGGTTCATTTATTTTTGGTATATGGCTATTTGGCACCTATCAGGTTAAAATAAGTAAAGAATTGTGGGATGTTTTTTTCCAGTATTGTATTGTCCGACATACTTTTTTTTTTCCTTCAAATGACCATTTGATCATGTGTGATAAACAACAATTTTTTTTTTTGGTAAGCATTAGTCTTTCCTTTTCATATGGACACAATATTGATGGTTCTTCCCATGGGGAGAGGAAGGATTTGTGTAAGATAGAGCAGTGAAAAAAGATTGTGGGTAGACAGGAAAAGAGAAGTAAGAAAAATGAAGTGACCTGGCAACTTCAGATGGATTTTAACCTTCAAAGTGTTTCCAACGTATGCCATGCAGGGATCAGTCCATGTCCACTGTACATTGCATGTTGTATGTCTTCAAATATGCTGCATGTTGCTATTTTAGGTCTCAGCTCAACTGTTTGAGTTGAGACTTACCACCTTCTCACACCTGAGAAAAAAATCTTGAACCAAGCAGGTCCATGCACTACATCATGGGAAACACTCTGTCAGTAGCACCTATAAACAACAAACAGGATCTGTTGTGCCACCACCGGCTTCCCTGTGAGCAAACAGGGTATGGAATTGGCAGGAAGATACACTATTTGTTCTAAATTTATTACAATTTCATGATGCTAATAATGGAATTCAGCTTAATACACTTACATAGATTTAACCAAGGATAATTAAATAAAGTCAAACACTGTGACTTTCATGTTTTGAGGAGTGCTTCACCCTGAAACAATTGTGTTATCATATGATTTTTCTTGTAAATAGTGTTATAAAACAACTGTCAAAAGAAATATGAAAAAATATTTAATTGTATTAATTTACATTATATACCGCAAATGGGGCTCTGGAGCACTTAGTGCTCCAGAGTATTGCTTATAATTATACTAATAATTTGGAGTGTTAAGCATTTCCATGTTTCCAGTTCTATAACACCTTGAAATACACCTGTTATCCTAACAAAGCAATGTACATAGTCTTAACCCTTTCAGGGTCCGTGCCGTAGATCTACGGCTTTACGTTCAGGGTCCAAACTGTAGATCTATGCCATGAGCTCAGCTCACTCTGATAAGCTGTGAGCAGTAAATTTGGCCCTAGATATGAGAGAATACATCTATGTGGTATGTGTGCACCACATAAAACATCCTGCAGCACACAGTGCATAATGAGAGAAAAAAACTGAGACTGTAATTTTTTATTAACCCCTTCAGGGTCCAAGGCCAAATTCTGAAGTGGTGCTCCAGTGTCCAAGAAATTTTGAAAAAAAAAATTATTTTTTCTTACAGAATTAAAGAGTATATTTTTGTGAAGGTAATAAGACAAAAAAAAAAAATTCTGATCAGTACTTACTGAGATACAGTGCCGAGAAGTTGACCCCAAATGACGTGGTGGCAGCAACATCAACATTTTCCACATACGTGCATTACTTTAACGTTTTTTGTAGTTTTTTCTTTTCTTTTCTAATTTTTTTTTTCTTTTCCTACTAACACTTTGGGCCTGAGAGACCAATACTGTATATAATGTATATACACCTACCATCCGACTTACGACCTGCTCGACTTACGACCACTCGACTTACGACCGTGTTTTTTATGCCAAATTTCTGGGAAATAAACAACTATTTGTGTTGTACACAGTGTTTGTCCTAAACCTTACAGTATAAAATACAGTACTAACAACATAAAAAGTAAAGTAAAACATGAAATACCAAAATAAAACAATAAAATAGTCATTACAAAAATGTTTTGTTGATATTCAGTAGTAAAGTTCGAGTTACGACCATTTCGACTTACGACCGGTTTCTCGGAACCGAACTCGGTCGTAAGTCAGATGGTAGGTGTATATAAACTCACTGTATTGAACACAATAACTGCACTAAAGTTATTATCATATTATTGTTTACCACTGTTGTTTATTACAATAAACATGCACAAATCTTGTATAATACTAATGTTCTATCATATATTTACATATTTACAATCACTGGACATGGTTTTAGAACTGCTGGAGCTTGTGGAACTCATTGAAACAAAGCACCATGCACAGAGGCACATTACATTCCTCACACATAAACCGAGTGTCTTTGCGTCTTTGTTGCTGTCGTTTTGTTTGTGCACAGACGATGCATCTCTTCTGAGCAAATTTCTTCTGAGTTGAAGGAAGCTGTATTATGAAATGATCACCTTCCCTCCTCAAACGCTTGGGTATATCCTGAGGAGTTCGAGGACCTTGTTGTATAGCAGGTGTTGTCACC